TTTTCCCTATTTGGCCTCTTCAAATAAAAAGGTCAGGCGAAGGAAGGAAGGAAGGAAGGAGGAAGGGAACAGGCTGGGAAAGCGGAGTGACGTCTCCAGGAGGCAGCACTCCGTTCCTCTCAGGCTAATGCCTTAGGTGCATCCCACAGCAGGGCCACATGTGCTGTGAACATGAGGCAATGGGACATTTTCCCCCAAGAGCTGCCATTCTTTGCCATGCCACCTTCTGTTCACTCCTTGTGACTACCCGAACAAATACACGTCCATGACCAGAATTGCTTGGGCTTGTTGTCAGTATTTCTGATGACTTGGCTCACCCCTTTGCTGGGGCTGACTCTGCTAGCTTGCCCCACAAGGACCTCATCAGCTTGCCCCACAAGGAGTTCAAAATAGCAGGCCCCACAAGGAGCCCATCAGTATAGCAGAGAGTCGAAGGTCTGGTTGAAGGCAATATCTGTTCCATTGGTGAACTGAAGACTCTAGTGCCCATTATAAAAAAAAGTGGAAAATGCAAAATGAAGACATTCCGAGGGCTGGAAAAAAAAGTGGAGAATCTTGACACCTTACACCCCAAAAAGTCACAGGATTCTTCATGTTTGTTGTTTCTGAAGATAAGCTCTTTTATTATGGACTTCAGGAGAGCTGCAATGTTGTGACTGTCCAGATAACAAAACCTTTAACTCCTATTCACTGCCTTTGGCAGCAGCTCTTGTCTAAACTGTGCAGGATCTGTTATCTATTTACTATCCCAAAGGGAGACATGTTTCAGGAGGGCTGGGAAGTCCCTCTGGGATTTTATCTACCTGTTTCCCACATGCACATATAAGGTCACACTCTGATGCAACATTCAGAGAGAACCAGGAGGCAATATTTTAATGTGGCATTGAACCGATGTTTGCACCTCGCTGCTGCAAGACGCTCTTGCACTGACTCCTTCCTTGGTGAAAGGGTCAGACCTTCACATTAGCCCTGCAGGCTCTTGCTAAAGTTGACTGCTAACTTGGGAGCTCTGGGATCCCGTTTTGTATTATCCAAGAGGTGGCTGCACTTGGAGAATATCACCCTTCCTAATGGGCCCTGAGAAAGGGAATACATGGGGCTAAGTGAATCATAAGCAGAGCCCCTCTGCAGCTTATTGCATTGTTCTGTGCCTGTGTATAGCACCCGTGCGGCCTGGGAGAGTGTGTGAAAGGGAAATTTGTCTCAGGATCTGTCTTTTGCGAAAGGCCACATTTCCCTCGAATTCCAGCTCCCTCCGATCTTCCCTGCTGTAATGGGGATAGTTTTTATCTCCCGACATCACTAGGAAGGCTGAGAGATGTTCAAAGCACATTTCTTGGAAGAAAACATTGTACGGCAAAGGAAGTATAATTACGGTGACAGTGCAGGGAGAGCAGATATGTCTCCCTAAAAAGATTTTAGAGTCTAATTTGCATTAAAAAAAAGATTTTTTTTTTTTTTTGTTAGAAGCAGCAAGGAAACATCATGAGAAATTCAGCAACTCAAAATATTTCAAAGGGACAAAAAGAACAAGGGGAAAAAAATAAAAAAAGATCAAATCCAGTCTCCAGTCCTACCAAATCACACACAGCTCAGGAACAGACCAAGATGGAGTGTAAGGGACTGATGAGCCTGAGGTTGCCCTGGTGGCTGCTGGAAGGTGCTAACAGCATCTGGGAAATCTGGGACCAGTCAGGCAGGTTTCCACTGTCACAAGGGCAGAAAAAAATGCGGAGACGAGAATCAGAATCAGATTGGTGGATCTGAGCCAGGCTTCTGAGCTCTGCCCACAATTCCAGCTCACTGCAAAGCTACCCCTGCTCATCCTTCGTCCAACAGCAAACAGCTGGGCGGGAGGATGCCGGCAAGACGGTTTCCAGGTGAAACAGCAGCAGAACGCCGGCTCTTGAGCCACATCTGCACCACACGCTCCCCCTTCCCCTTTTGCCAGCCGCACCTGGCGCGGCACGTGGAAGCAGCGCGGGAGCAGCCTTCATGGCAGGGCCGGACGCCGAGCGTTCGTCCCGCGGCAGCGCCGCATGTCGCCAGGAGAAGCCTCGGAGCCGCCGCGCCTGGCGCTGCGGCTCCCTGCCACCCCGGCCTCATTCATTAGGCTCAGGCTGTTCAAAGGGATGGAAATCAAAGCCTATTTAGGTCAGGAACATATTTCGAACGAAAATACTTAGCGTGTTTAAAGTATCTTATTCAGACACTCCCTGTCTGCTGCCTCCTGGATGGCTGCACAAACACTCACTGTCCTTAATACATTTTTTAATGGTATGGAAGGAGCTTCCAAAATCTGGCTTGTTTTTTTTTTTTAATATAAATAAGATTCGGTCTCTCCATCAATTTCATTAATGCTGATAAATAAGCCACCTTCTGGCAGCTCATTAAGCACCCCGAACAGGAAAGAAAGGGAAAGAATAAACCCAACACGCAGATTTCCCTTTGCAAGAGACCCGGATTCGCTGTGTGGTATGGAGAGCCGGGACTGCGGCCCGCATGGGCCCTGCTCTGTGTGAGGAAGAACAGGGAAGGAGGGAGGCCGCAGACGGGCCCTTTGGGAGCATCACTACTGGAGCATGGAGCCCTGCGCTTCGGGCTGACGCTCCTCGCAGCCGGCGGCCTCGCGGTGCCGCCCCGTGACATGGGCGCCACCGTGTCCTGAGGCACCATCGTGTCCTGAGGCACCGTGTCCTGAGGTACCACTGTGTCCTGAGGCACTGTGTCCTGAGGCACCAACCCGCCCTGAGGCGCCTCAGGCGCCTGGCTGTGCCGCCTCTCAGGGCCACCCTGTGAGGATCTGCTGGGGCTTGGGAACACCAGCCGCTGATACCGGGTACCCTGGAAGGAGCTGAGCCGGGTGCTGCTGCTTTTCAGTTCGGCCTCGGCGCTCCCAGCATGCCGATCATCCTGACGCTCCATGTGTTTTTGGCTGGAGCGGCCTGTGGTGCTTACACAGCCCAGGCTCTCCGTGCTCACACAGAAATGCCGAAGCCTCCTTTCCATGAGAGCCTCACTCCCCATCTGATCCCTGAAACTTCCTCCTGAAGGGGCCGGCAGGGGTCGAGCCCCACGCAGAGGTGCCCGCTGCTCCCGCCGGGCCCCGTCACCGCGGGCAGCGGCGGCTCCTCCGGTGTCTCCGAGAGCTGGTTTTCCGCCCTTCCTCTGAGGGGATCTTCAATCCCCATGGCTCTCGCAGAGCAGCAGCCTGTTTAGCTGGAGGCTGTTTGAAGGGAACAGCAGCACAGGAAAGAGGAACGGGATGGACAGGGACTCCCCGCTGGCGGAAGCTGCTGCTTGGGAGCCTTGTGGGGAAGATTAAAACAGGCCCGTTCTGCAGCGCTGAGCCTGGTGCTGCCCCTCGCCAGCCCCTTCAGCCGCACGGGTCTGAAGGTCTGGCCCGTTCTGTGCACACACAGAAGGTCCCGCCTGGGCCGTGGCTTCCCCGACCCACGAGGGCCACGTCCCTGGGGGGCTCGGGAGCTTCTGCAGCCCCAGTGCAGGAGGCAGCGGCTCTCGCGGGGCTGGGAGAGGCACCGGGTGCTCGGGACCTCTGGGGACAGGAGTACCAGCAGCTTCAGAAAAGCCTTTCTTTTTTTTGGTCTTTGAACTGCAGTGCCCTGGCCTTAGGCTCCCTCATCAGATAACCTGCACATCCGGCTGAAAGCAGGCACAGCAACTGGCTCCGGTGGGGTTAGAGGAGGCATTTGCAGAGGAAGGCTGCAGAGCTGGCCCAGCCTCCCAGGCTTATTGGATTAAAACTAGCAGAGCACACGGAGTTCAGCAGCCAGAGGAGATGGCTGGGCCTTCCTCACGATTGATGGGCTCCATCCCTCCTGCTGGCTCAGGCAGCACTCCGGGCAGTAAATGCCACTATCCGTCCTCAGCACCGTCCTGACCGGCTGCAATGGAGCGGAGCTCTTGCCCAAGGGTCAGAAACTGTGAGAGAAGATGGGAAACGACAACTGCATCTCCTCAAGCACCCTGACCTCGGCAGGGCTCCCGAGGGAGACACGGGGCAGAGCGGGGAGGGAAAGGATGCCCAAAAACCCACTGCGCCACGTATGGTCCTGTACGTGCAGGACCTACCTGGTGAATGACAACAACTAGACCTACTGTACAAACCACACATACATGTGTTTATTAAGCAAAGGCGCTACTGTATAGCTGATTGTGCTGGACATTCATGCCAGAGGCTCTTTAGCAAAGCCCTGTACTTCTTCACATAGGCTTTAGGCAAGCCTACAGCTCGATTCTGCAGCGCAAATCCTCGATATGAATTGCAGGCGAGGCACAAGCTTGAGCAGCTCTGCTGTCTTCAGCATGAGTTCGCCGTTTCATTCTTTGGCTCCTCGTACCTTCCTGCATTTCTTCAATGTTAACCTCGAATTCAACCAGATTAAACTCTCCTACAGACCTGGTCTCTCTTTTTTATCAGATGCTTAATAAATTGTGATTTAAGGCATTGGAAGCCAAGCTATGCAACAGTACCACTTCGACTGGCAAAAATGAGCGTGAGACCTCCGTGATCAGCATACGCTTCCCTCCGAGATGAAGGAAAGGGCCGGTCCTCTCCTTCAGCCTGGAGGGAAGCGTATGCTGATTACGGAGGTCTCTCACGAGCGCTGACGAAAGAGGCTCCCACAGCACCAGCCTAATGAAATACCCTTCCTGGAAAGGCATGCGAAGGATTCCAGGATTCATTCAGGGAAGCTCTGCCGAGGAGAAACAACGCGGGGTAGTGATTTAATGGGGGATTTCACATAGTCCCTTCCTCAGAGGAGGGTCTCAGAAAAGTCGTTTTCTTGAATTAAGTAAATCTAAGTGATAAGCAAACCACATTTTGACTAAACACATGACAGACTGGAAGCAGACAATAGGGAGAAGTTTCCTTTTATTTATTCCTCTTTAAAATGACTTAAAAGCAAATTTAAAACACTATTTTTTTTAAAAAAACAGGGGGGCTTCAAAATACCAAGAAGCTGAAAATGAAACCACAAAGGAGGCATTACAAGGTTAGCAAAACATACAAAGCCTAGTCAGTATAAAACAGGTTTAGAGTCTCAGTGAGCAGGAAATCCACCCCGCTCAGGTAAATCGAACTGCACTTGATACTAGCCCTACCCTCTGCAACATACAATTCTTTTATCATTTTCTTTCACTGTAGCACTGGATAAGAAAACACAACAATTTAAAAAACAAAATCAAAAACGCTTGCTGAGAGAGAATGACATTACAAATGTGGTATTGCTCTGTACGCACTGGTAAATGTTTTCCTATGGGAAGAGAACGTGCCAAAGCAGCATTTAAAACCGTGTAATTCTTTTAGAAATGGTGCAGCTCCATCATGCCCGAAGGGAAGGAGGAGCTGTGGAGCCACGCTCGCGTTCTGCTGCTGCTCGGCAGCGCTGGAGGCTGCAGGGAGAAGTGGCAGGCAGCTGTGGTAGAAAACAAAGGGATCTCCTGGTAGCCAGGGTGCTCTGAGAGCTTAGATCCAGGGAGGGCTCTTGTACAAAGAGTGGCCGAGAGTGACTGCATGTGCCCGGTGCGGCCTTCGCTCTGGATGCTTTCGCATCCCTCTGACTTGAGGTGCTGAGCATTCCCCGTTGAAAAGCAGGAGAGTGACGGTCACCATCTCTGAAGGAGCAAGCTTAAGTAACCCTGTGGTTACACGGGCTTGTGTGTAAAGGATGGAGCTGACCGAGGCGGGAAAACTTCAGTTGGAGGAGTGGAATACCTGAGCTCTGCAACGTGGAGGCTGCAGCACACAGCTTGCAAAGTGATGGTTCTTAGAGCCTCCCCAAGCAGTGGTGGTGCACAGCTCTGCTTCCTGCTCTCCCCCAGGTGCAACAAGTCACCCGGTGGTGCCACTGCAGTTAGACACAACTGACCTCTCCAGTCGCCCTCCCCGGGAGGCTAAACTGCCTGGGAAACTGGTGCAGATGGAACCTGGCCAGGACACACTGCAGTCACACACAGCCACAACTGTGACTGCCCCCTGGAAAAGACCTAGAAAGGAGAAGACAGGAGCAATAAAGGTAATAGGGGCTGCAGGGCTGCTCAGGGCTGCTCAGAAGCCACAAGCCTCGGTTGTCGCTGGCAGGAGATTGGGCACGGGCTGTTTGTGCCCAGGCCTGCAGACAAGGGCTCTTCGCTCCTCGTGCCAGTCCAGCTGCAGTGTAACTTACACCCGCTACTGCACAGCGCTGTCGTCAAACCAAGGAGCACTCACATCCTTGGAGGACACAGACATGGAATTTCTGAGCATCCGCAACAGAAGCAGACTCAAAACAACTCGGGGGAGGCACTGGTTTAAGCCAGTGCCCATGCAGGGCTCACTAAAGCAGAGTTTTACCTCACAAACCTCCTCACTTCTGAGACGTGACCTCTCCTACCTGTTTTGGCACAAGCAGCCTTCCTGATGCCCCTGTTTGGCGGGCAAGATGCCTGAGATTAGGCGGTCCAAGCCCCAGTGTCCCCGTGCGCAGCGGAGAAAAGGTTCACTTCAGTCCTGTTTTACTAGGAAGTTTCTGGCTTAAAAAAATCACTTTTTAAAAAAAAATGCCGTGGCAGGCAGCAGTTAATCGAACATGTCCTCAAACATGCGCCGCCCCATGGCTATATAGACCTCCTTCTCCTCTGGAGTCATCTGGGCCACCAGCTCGGGGCGCTGGCTCACTTGGCTGTACGAGTGTGGGTGCCCGGCCACCATGACAGTGGGGTCCTCGGCCACCACCTCAAACTCCTCCTCGTCATCATCATCCTCCAACCCGTAGGTGGTGGTGGCCGTGGCAGCAGGGCGTGGAGGGGACTCCTCTTCCGACTCGCTTGTCTCACTCTCGGAGTCACTGGCATTGGCGCCGGAGAGCGGAGCCGCGCTCCCCACGGTGACCGTGGAAGCAGAGGGCGTCTTCTTCTCGTGGATAAGCAGGGCCCGCATCACCTCCTCGTTGTCATCTAGAGCTGCCCGGCCCTCCTCGCGCTCCTGGAATGTATCCAGGTCCCGGCCACCTGCAAGGAGACACAACGGAATAACGGTTTCTTATCAAGGATCGGGGTAGCAGCCCTGGAGACTCTCCGGTGCCCAACTGAGGTGTCCCAAAGCTGGGCTGCAGCTGAACGCTGTGCTTCCAAATGCTGAACTGTGCACCTCACGCTGACACTCGCTAGAGACCCAGCAAGGCTCAGGAAGGAAAGGGGCACGAGCAGTTTCCTTTTGGGCCCTTTGTTTCTAGGCTGTATGTCTGCATACAGCAGGAGGACCTTCCGTGCGGACCAAGACCCAGGGCTGTTCCAGGCACTGACTATAAGCACAGAACTAAGAACAGACCCTGCCCTGCACAGGCCCCATCTGCAAGGACTGAGATAGAGAAGCAGAAAATCTCTCCACGTTCTGCATTTACTGAGCACTGTGAGTTCACCCAACACTAATAAATCTACAGGCAATATGAAAAAGAACAACAGACAACAATAAAACATAGAATATGGAGAATTTTCTGTAAAAACAAGGTGTAAAAAGTAGGACAGATTCCCCATGGCAAATTCTCTCTTGCACCAAAAGTCTCTGCATATGAACAGTCACTGGAGCGGGGGTGACAGCATTCGGCCCTCGTACATTAATGCCACTGGCTGTCTTTTCCAAGACCAAGACCCGCATGGTTTTATCACCATGCCATCCAAGTCTCTCCCTACAGGATCAAAAATGCACTTGCTACCTTTTTCTACTTGAAGCAAAAAACGTGCTGAGAAACAGTTAAAACTAAGGAAGTTCTGCATTTAGCCCTGAAAGCCCTCAGAGATTTTGGTTGGGTTTGATGGTCTTTTTCTGTGCCTTAATGAAAGTCAGAAGACCCAGGCTGACTTCACCAGACTCATGTTTTCACGAGAAATGAGTTTCTGCCTATAAACGTATAGACTGAAGCAGCTAGGAAGCAGCACATGCAAATGTTCCCTTCCAGAGGGCCCAAGCCTAAGGGCTAAGTGTCCATTCAGACGGTTTCTGACTGTGGGATTTGGTGCACTATGTGTTTAATACAAGGGAAAAGCAAAAGCAGAACCCACAGCGTTGCACAAAATGTTGCTTTATCTTCTCCACAGCTGAGAGGCTTTCTTGTGTGGTTACGTCTTAGCTTGTCCCTGCTCTGAGGAAAATCCTCTGTTCTCCCCCTTCTCATTTTCCTACTTTTTGACAGTGTTCTTGGTGTTTATAAAAATTTGCTCTTCAAATGTTCTTTCTTGGTGAAAGAAGCTGCAGCCCTCGTCAGATTAAGGCCATTCCCATCAAAAACTTGGCACATGAGCTCGGCACACCATCTGGAAATAGGACTACAGAAGCTGCAGTAGTTACAACAAGATCGAGAACGCTGGATATGTGTCCATGATTTATGGCTTCATTACTGTGGTCACACTCAGATATCATAACTACAGGGATCCACATGGCAACCTAACGGGAAGAAACAATCTTCCTGACAGCTGAAAATGAGGGCGAGCAGTTCTGCAGTTCTCTCTTCAGACAACCAACACCACGGAGGTGTGCGGGCTGGTCTCCTGGGTTCCTCATAAAAACGGCAGAACGACTGACCTCGTCCAACCCCAGCAACATCTAGCCAAATTCCCTCCTCCAAACAGCAACCAAGGAGGGTACTCAGGCTTTGTTAGGAGGGGCCGATGCCAGCCCCTGCAGGTACTAACATCAGAGAGATGAGCCTCGCTGAGAGCTGTGAAGCCACCAGGGTTAGTGCTGTGAGGCTCACTTTGCAGCCCAGGAGCGGAGCTGCCTCCTTCTGGAGAAACTGTCCCTGACAGACTCAAGCAGTGAACATTTTCCACCCGTGGCCCCAAGTTCATGCTTATGCTGTCCAAGAGCCCTGTAGATAAGTTCCAACAGCAGCTTCAGGCTATGTCCATAAGTTGCCCCTGTGATCTCCAGTAGTTTTGGAGATAAAGCAGCAATGCTGCTGTGCTGTAAGCAGAGGATGTTTCTCCCCTCCAGGTCCTTCAGCGGTGTTGGAGCATCATTTATGCTGTGTAAACTAAAATGCATCTCAAGGAGCTGGTTTAAAAATACGGGCAAATCAACTGTCCAGCAGAAAAACTGGATGAGAAATGAGACTGGTGAATAACAACATCTGCAACAGCTGCAGGAGGAGATGCTTTCCATCACCAGAGTTTGTTCAATCCGTTTGGAAAATGTTCTGAGATCCATTTGTTTTAAAGAAGCTATATGCAAACAAGATCATTAGATATCTCCTGTTATTTTGCATCCATTTCCTTTTCTTCCTCCATACCTACATTACTCCCCTATCTCTTCTCCTGAGGATCACACTAGGGAAGGAATGATTCAAGTGTGTCGTGTTTATTTACATGCCTCCATTTTGCCATTTTCTTTTCCCAGGACATCACCGATTTCATTCTGTAATTCTCAGATGACTTGAAAGATTCTAATGATTCACCCTCATAAAAATGCTGAGAGGTCTCTAAACGGCAAGCTTTTCAAAGCACAGTTTTCCTGCTGGTATCTTGTCTGCGGTCTATAGACGATTTGACCCAATATGAATGAAAATAAGAGCAAAGATGGGCCACACTCCCAGAAGCAATGCTCCTGACATACTCTTCTTCATATAAAACATTTTGAAAAATAAATGGTGAGGAGGAGGCTGGGAATGCAAAACCACTGCTGACAGATTTGGTGTGCTTCCGAGTCACCAAATACAACCCAAATGTTATTTTCCAGCAGTGTCACACTGGCAGTCAGCTTCCCAGATGAAGCTGGAATACCCTTACCCCAAACCAACCGGCTCTGAAGGTAGAAGAATGTGTATTGCTGAAGCTACAGGAAAAAGGTAACAGATAATTAACATCTCAGAAGCACATACGTACTTTGGTGGGCAGCTCAGCTTTACTGACCTAGATTTCAATGCTTGATGGAATAAATCAGCATTTTTTAACATCTACCTACACACAGGTATTTGCCTGGCAGATGGAAGCAGCTACAATCTGGAGGATCCAAAGTGGCAGCTGTTCATACACAGGGGCTTACATTTTATCCCTGCACTCCAAGAGCACCACAGAGGCAGGGAAGCCCCATTTCTCTGAACTTTCTTACCGTCCTTGATGTCATCGGGGTCATAAGCTCCTTGCACTGTGCTCTCCCGCAGCCAAATTGGCCTCTCCCTGGCTGGCTTTCCTTCACTTGCAGACCGGTTAAGGTCCTCCTGGTCTTCCATGCTGATGACGACGTTCTGGGTGTACAGGTCTTCATAGGAGGGTCCTTTTGTGGTCCATGCTTCCCGGTGGTGGCCGCCTGTGAGGCCGGCTGTCCCGGACCCAGCAGCAGCTCGCTCCTTGCTGTATGGAAGCCAGAGGGATAAAAAACAGTTAGACCGTTCAGCCTAAGTAGCAACCCACGGCTTAAACTCTGATTAGCTAAGCCCTGCCACGTGCACTGAGAGCTTCTACTCTCGGTTTTCATAGGTAGTGCCAGGAATTTCTCTGCCAGCTTGCTGGGTTTAGGGAATCTGTGGATCCGAGTTCACTTGGATAACTGAAGCCCTATCTCCTGTGCTATGCCCACAGACACAGCTGCACGGAAGCTCACTGCCTCCCTGGCAGGGAAAGCCAAGCATGACCATTCACCCACCTCAAGAACATATTTCCTCTAGAGGAAACTGAACACTGGGCCCATTCTCAGCCCACACTAGGTGCCATGTGACTTAAGCCACCTGATCATAAACGGTATCCACGTCTCCTGCCAGATCTGTCTGGAGGGCTCCCCTTGTCCAGAGGTTTAGGGTACCAACAAGGTTCCTGCTGGGCAGCAGCTCTGCAGCTGAACCCGCAGCTGTTGTCAGGGAGCACCACCCATTTGCTATCTACCTACTCAACAGTCTTTCCTCCAAAGGAGAAGCTTAAAATATGGTTGCAGTTGGACCTGAGTTCAGACCCGAGTAATAAGCAATGGTTTTTTTTTTTTAACTCAGCAAGGACTCAACCACTGCTTAATAAGCTAAATCTGCTAGATTTTCAGCTGTTCACTATGAGGGAAGAGATAGGTAGGTAGGTTATCATTCTGCTTCCACACATAAAATAAAGAGCAGTGTGTTCAGGCTCAGCCCGTACTGAGGGCTATGGACAATCTCCTACCTGTGGGCTGCCTGGGATCTGTTAGCAAAACGCTCCGCAGCCTTTGTGCTAGGATGTATCAACACACTAAGTGCCTCGCTCTCTCCCACAGCAAGCCCCCCTAAGAAACCTTTGCACTGAGCCTGAAAGATTTATGCGCATGTACCCCTTATACAGCCTAAGGAACCACAGAGACCTTCTTCCCAGAGCGCTGTTCCAAGCGCCCAAGATCTTTCCGGTGCCCAAGATCTGCAAGGTGTTTGTGAAAAGCCCCACGGGCCCCCAGCCACGAGGAGCGCGCGCCTGGCGCTTGCCTCGCTGCTTGATGCCACCCCTTCCCCACAGGGCAGCAGTGCAGCTCTCCCTCGAGCCCTGCCTCTCTCGGGCTGCAGCCCGGCGGCCTCGCGCGCGGCACCGCTGCAAACACCGAACGCAGCTGCTGCTCCGAGGTTCCCGTCGGCGCGTTGGAAATGGGCTTTTCCCCTGGGCTGCTCTTCAGGCCTTCGTTCAGCAGCCAGGCACTTACTGCATGTCATCCAGAACCTTTCACAAAGGGGAGCAGCAACTAGAGGAGAAGGCTCCGCTGTAATTCACTTGGAACCACGGACAGCAACATGCCACATTTACATGGAGCAATCCAAGTGCCCTGAGTCACGGGGTGAGCTCTGCGGGAAGGCAAACCACAGCTCTCAACTTTCTCATTTAGCTGCTGTGAAGAGCTTCACCATATCAGGAAAGAAGCCTTGGTCCTTGACAGCACGACCACAAAGAACTATTTCAGTGAAGATCTAAGCTACCTGTGCTACCTGCCATTTGAAGCAAGGAAAATGTAGGAATATTAAGAAACACCTGGTTTAGAAAGGCACGGAGAATAGTTTTGGTAAAGTAAGTTTAATATGAAACATTCGTGGAGGAAATTTATGCTCTGAAAGATTAACAAAATCAACAGCTTCCTTGAAAGACAAATGAAGAGCTGACTGCTTTCCCTGGCAGGTGAGTGACAGGCAAGTTCAGCTGAGCCAACGAGAGCCAAAATTCTCCTGAAAAGCCATGGAGTTGCCTGTGCCTGTGCAAAGAGGAGACACAGGAGCTTTACGAGCTTTTTGCTTCTTTCAGAATCATCAAATGCCAGTTTTGTCAATGGTTTCAGGAACTGAGGACTCCACAGGATGGAGAGAATAAATAACCCAGGGTTTTGTACTTCTTTGAAAAATCTGACAGCAGCACTTTCCTGCAATTAGTTGCTTTGAATTAATAAGGGTTAATAAATAATTAAATCACTGTATGTGCTGAAGCAAGTTGTGTTCAAGTAAGCATTTAAAAAGCTGCCTATTTATTTTGTTATGCCTTGTGCAGAGTAATTAATCATTTACAATATTTTTAAAGTATTTAAAAGGCAAGTAAGTGGGTGCTGCTGTTTAATCATTGGACTTCACCAGGCTTCTGCTCTGCTAATTTTCTGTCCACACAGATAAGGTAGCCATGGGGAAGGGTGCAAAAGGACTCTTGTCAGTGGGGTTATCCCAGTTCTCACAGGCAAAGTACAGAAAAGGGTTTTTAAAGCGAAGTCGAGTGATGCAGCTTGGGAATACAGGCTGGCTTCAAAGACACCCTGCATCAACAAAGACACAGCGAGTGACCTTGGAAGACACGTCCCCCCACTCTGCTTTCCTGACAGAACGAGAAGCAAAGTCTGCTACATTCTTGGCTGGAAAATGTCCATGAGCAGACAGAGTGTTTTTATTATGGGATTTGGTCTAGAACGATATATGAGGCACGTTCTCTTTCGTGCTGAGCCTAAGAGCCTCCCAGTAGCCTCCTGCCTGCTCTCCTCCCAACTAAGGACAAGCACCCCGAGGCACTGAGGGAATGCTTTACTCCACAGCACCTATCTTTCTTCTTGTGTGTTTAATTATTACCTCTTTTAAAAGAGAAGCACATCATATTTCACTATAGGTGACAAAACTGACAGCTCCTTGCATCTTTCTGCATTATTTAAAAATCATCCGTTTTTCTACAGCTAGGAATGTTACGGGAAGAAAAAAAAAGCCATTTCCCATGGGTAGGAACATTTTTAAAGAGCTCCTGATTATAACACGCCCTTCCCCCAAAAGGAGGAGGAGAAAATCAGAAGAAAGAGTGCACTTATTCCAAGCAATTTCTTTGAATAAGAGCTTCATTATATGTGGATTTGAAACACAAGGTGTAGGGCACAGACCTAACTCTCCAAAGCTGGGCAGGAGCAAAAGGAAGAGATGAAAGAAAAGGGTTTACAAGAGAAAGAAGGCAGCAAGGCAGCGAATGGTAGCCAAAATACATTCTGGAGGCTAGACAGCACGCACAGCCCTTTGCAAAGCGGCAGCAGCTTGCAGTTCTTAAATACCGAGCCTTGGAAAACACACCGGCTGCAGCTTAGCAAGCAGCAGACAGCCTGAGTTCCCTGCCCATATGACGACATCCTGGAGACTAGGAAACTGCCTGGCTTGGGAAAAAGTGCCGGCAGCCCCGTGGCTGCCTATAAACCACGCTTTCCGTAGGGAATTTGCCCGTTGTTCGTAGAGCTGGGCTTAAACAAGCCAGTCCCCCGCAGAGCCCGGACAAGCTGCACACAAGGGCCAGGAGGGCCCCAAGGAAGGGAAGCCAGCGCCCGTTCCCACCTCTGCTTCAGCGCCGGGATCTCCGTGGGTTCCGGCTCGAGGATTTCGTAGGCTAAGTTGACATCTTCGGTCTCGCGAAGCAGGGCGTAGATAGGCTCAATCTGCTCGTTGAACCTCGCCACGAGCGTCCTGGCGTCCTTCTTGGGCATCGCCGACTCGTCCTCCTCCACTTCGGTCTCGCAGAAAGTACACCGGAAAGTTCCTAAAAGGAAACGCAACAAAAGGATTGGGAGAAATTGGGATCAAACTGGGAGAAAAGCAACAGGCCAAGCTTACAATAGAGTAGTTTTTACAGCAGTGCTTTGCTGTTTCCTTAGCTTGATGCTGACGAGCTTTCCTCATGCTGACAGTGCCCTCCCCGCTCACAGTGCACATGCTTAGTATCCCAGAGGAAGCAGAGCCAGCCCGTGGATGCCGCCGGGTGCCGCCGAGCAGGGCTGGGGTCTCTGTCCCTCTGAAAGGGCCGGGCGGGTTCAGCAGCGCTGCCGGGACAGTGCTCGGCTCACACGCCTGCTTCCCGCCACACGCTTCCAACGCTGTCGGCTACCGGGCTGTGACACGGAGCTTCACAGTGTGCTCGAGGAGTTCACACGCCGGCTCCTCCAGGCGCGCTCCGTCACCGGGCACGCTGTGAGTGGCCTGCAAACGTCGTGGTGGATGAGAAGCTGCCCATGAGGCAGCAGGGTGCCCTGGTGGCCAAGAAGGCCAACGGGATCCTGGGGTGCAGTAAGAAGAGCGTCTCCAGCAGGTCGAGGGATCGTCCCCCTATACACAGCCCTGGGGAGGCCACATCTGGGGACTGTGTCCAGTTCTGGGCTCCCCGGGACAAGAGGGATGTGGAGCTGCTGGAGAGAGTCCAGCGCAGGGCTCCCAGGATGATAAGGGGCCTGGAACATCTGCCCTATGAGCAAAGGCTGAGGGAGCTGGGCCTGTTCAGCCTGGAGAAGAGGAGGCTGAGGGGGGACCTGATCAGTGTCTATAGATACCTCAAGGGAGGTAGTGAGGAGGAGGGGGCGGCCTCTTTTCAGTGGTGGCCAGCGACAGGACTAGAGGAAATGGCCACAAACTGAAGTGTCAAAAGTTCCCCAGGAACTTAAGGAAACACTTCTTGACAGTGAGGGTGGCAGAGCCCTGGCACAGGCTGCCCAGGGAGGCTGTGGAGGCTCCTTCTCTGGAGATCTTCCAAACCTGCCTGGATGCCGCCCTGTGCCCCGTGCTCTGGGTGCCCCTGCTGGAGCAGGGGGTTGGACTAGACGACCTCTGGAGCTCCCTTCCAACCTTAAGCATTCTAGGAGTCTATGAAATGTACACAATTCCGGGAATAAACTTTTCCTTTATAAGTTTTGTCTGGCCTTCATGTAAAGGCCAGAGCGGCCAGCAGCAAGGCCATGCAAAGTAAAGACCAGTGCTCTGGTAGAGAGCTCTTCTCTCCCATGCAAGCATAAAGCGCTGCGCTTGTTTCTTCGGCAAGTAAAAATTGCCACTACTGAGTCAGAAACTGTGTGTTATATAAGCAGGCAGGCTGGCTAAAAGTTAAGCCCAAGTCTGGTCCCTTTTTACTCTACCAGTCTGACAAATCTGTACAATTTGTTTCATTTAAAAATAATTAGTACATCTCGGCTCCCATAATGGGCTGAACAAACAAACGCAGGCTGACGAGCAAAACTCTCCTCTCTTTTTATAAAGTCCTGTTCCTGGGACAGCTCAGACTTGTCGCACTTCCACTCTGGATCCCCCCCAGGATTTGCAAAGGTTATAAAGACAGAGCGGCTGGTTCCGACTCAGAGTACCTAAAAATCAGAGAGCAAATACAGCCCTAATGACACAGAATTCCTAAAGCCACGGTGGATTTGCTGCAACTGCTGTCCCTTAGGGCTCCCAAGGAGCAACAAATAGCAAGTTAATAGCTGAATTATGCAAAGGATCTGGGAGTGATTGGAGCGAGGAGCTTCCTCCCTTACCAGGCTGGTTTCCTTCAGGGTGACGCAGCACTTCACAGGAGGCACCTGCGACTCGAGAGGCTGCTCTGCCATGGCAGATGGCATTCAGGTGCTGCAAGTCTCCTCTGCTGCGTGTTAAGGGGTCAAGAAATGTCACCAGAGCTTGGTGGCACGACACTGCACCTCGCATCAGCACCGACACGTGATCCTTCCAAGCAAAGGCCGCGTACGCCCCACGCGGAGCGGAGAGCATCCCGAGGCTGCGGCTGCTGCAACGCTCTGCTCTGGGGCTTATTTCTTCCTCCAGCCTTTCCCATTCCCGTGCGCTGCTTAAACCAGGGCAAGCAGCTACCCTGGAGCAAGCACACCGGAGGCTTACCGGGCCCCTGGGGAGAGCACACATGTCCTCCTCTTGCCACACACACTTATTTATTGCCGGTTCAAGCGCTCAAGAGACTTCTTGGCACGTTAGAATAAAACCCCAGCCATCTGAAAAAGATCTCACCTGCTCCCAGGCTCTCAGCGACGGATACACCGCTAATCCAGCCCCCTGAGGCACACACGGATTAAGCTGTAGCTACAGCTCTAGAGCAGAGGGCTGGAATATTCCAAGATAATTCCCAGTGACTTGATTTCACTCAAGAGAAGGAAAAGGTCCCCATGCTGTCCCTATGCATTAGAGACCCGGCGCCCAAGGGCCGGGATGGCAGAATTAACTGTGCTCACCCTGGCTTCAGTCTGGCTCAGCCTGAGCGTGCACGTGGCAGTGGCCACAGGCACCCGAGCCCACGTCCTGGATCTGCTCACCCCCCTTCCCAAGGGATCGAGTGGCACCCTCAACCCAACAAGGCATTTTCCTGCCTCTCTCTCCTGCAGGATGCTGTCCCCAATCCTTCAGCTCATTTCTATTGCTCCAGCCTTCAGCTTCATCCGACGCTTTATTCTTGACTGTGTAACAAAGCATTTAAGCTAATCCACTTTCCAAACCTCCCACAACTTGCCTTTAGAAGAAGCATTCTTACTGCTATACGGAGGGCAAACGGAGGCGCAGGTGACACCATTCCAGAAGTATCTGTGGATCGGAGCAGTGCTGGATTTGCGGCGCCTATGAAATGCTTTCCTCAAACTTCTCTCACAGCACCGAGCACGCAGTGTTTTTATGAATCACCTTCAAGGCTTTACAGTGAGGAGCCTCAAAGGAGTTAGGAACAACCGCCAACGAGAGCCTTCCTGTGCAGGGTGACAAAGATGGTTAAGGGACCGGAGCATCTCTCGTGTGAGGAAAGACTGAGTGAGTTGGGCCTGTTTCGCCTGGAGAAGAGAAGGCTGAGAGGGGATCTGATCAGTGTGTACAAGTACCTGAGGGCAGGAGGTAGGGAGGAAGGGGCCAAGCTCTTCTCAGTGGTGGCCAGTGACAGCACAAGGGGCAATGGGTGTAAGGTGAAACCCAGGCAGTTCCATCTCTATGTGAGGAAGAACTTCCTCCCTGTGAGGGTGCCCAGGGAGGCTGTGGAGTCTCCTTCTCTGGAGATCTTCCAAACCCGCCTGGATGCCGCCCTGTGCCCCGTGCTCTGGGTGTCCCTGCTGGAGCAGGGGGTTGGACTGGATGGTCTCTAGGGGTCCCTTCCAACCTCAACCACTCTGTGATTCAAATGTCCAGTCCAAAAACACACAGGACCTCAGCTGCCCCAGCTCTGGGTTCCTGGGGCTACCACAGCCATTTTCTTCTGACTCCCTTTCTCTTTCACTGAGCAGCTTTCCTTCTTCTGTAGCAGTCCAGAAAAGAGATCACTGGAAGCCCACAGCTTGTCTCCCTCACCAAGGGAATGACAATTTTTGTGGGAAAAAAAAATCTAGGTGGTGGAGAACAAATTACCAGATGCATATGTAATACATAGCCTTTCCTAAGCATAGGTGCTTCACCGGCATAAAAAGAAGACACTGTGAAGACTCTGAGGGAAGGACAGGCCTGTCTTGGGTCCTTACCAGTGAGAAACCATAAAAGTAAACATGTCCAAGGGGTATCCTGCCCATTTAGAGCTCGCTTCGCTTCGCTTTTACCTGCTCTGAAACTTAAACTTAGGTGGATCCCCAGAATGGAAAAAACCTCTGCAAGAAAACCCAGACCAATTCCTAGCCCCTGCCCTCCCAGACAATCCTACATCATAAAAAGGAAATACTTTGCAACCTAAGTAATAGGCAGTGCTGTCAGTACTGCCTGCAATTAACTTCCTTTTATTTCTTATTGATTTCCAAGATTTAGAGGACTGTTTACGGCAGCACCTGAAGGAATTTCTCTCCTGAATCATTACAGACAGAAATAGCAGGTTGAGTGGCTCCAAGTGACGTGCATCATTTCCTGCAACCTGCTGCCATACAGGGGTGCTCAGCCACCCACCTGGGGGGCTGAATAGAAACAAAGAGAGTTTTAATGACCTTAATGGAGCATGTTAGCAAGAGCACTAATTACTGATTACAGCTGAACTGTTTAAGGAGTTGGTTGTTAATTGGATTACAGATAAGGCACATTAGAGTTGAGGAGCTGGTTGATCTTTGGTGACTCCTGGACTTAACTGGACTTCTCAGCCTTCATTAAATGCTGCTTATCACCTCAGTGAGAAAGCCACCCATGTGGCTGGAGGAACAAGCTCCTGTTGGAGGAAAAAGAGGAGTCTCTGGTCACTTGCAGCCTTCTCCTCTGCCTGCATTTGAGAGCTACAGTCCCAGGCACACTGGTGCTCGTGTCTTACTTCCAAACATCTGGTTGCTTTAGGTAAAAAAACACCAACATATCCACCAAATACATGTGTCCAGCACCACCACCCTCCCTGCCACCAATTCACCGTTTCTCCACGTGCATGAAAAAAACAATTACAGAGCACACTGTTACATAAAAACTAATAATGCCACAGCTCATCCTTCTGAGACAGGTTTCACGGTCCAGCAGCTCTCAAACCCTTGAGGACACTGCAGCGCTCGCGCTCCGAACGGGACGCAGCCAGGGGCTGTTTCTGCATCAGTCGTGTGCGGAGGGCCACGCAGCCCGGCGTGCAGGCGGCTGCAGAGAGGCCCTTGCAGCACAGGGACACGCGCTGGGCCCCGGGCGCGCGATGCTGGCGCTCAGGAAACGCTGCGTGTTCCGCAGCGAAACATCCCGCCTCGCCGCTCAAACCTGAAAGGCGTGAGGCTTTATCCTGGCGCGCTGCAAAAGACCAGAGAATCCTTAAGGTTGGAAGGGACCTCTAGGGATCATCCAGCCCAA